GCCCTTGGGCTAACATATAAAAAGACTCTTGTAGGGATGAATGGTTATGTTACCAACAAATAGTTTAACATAAACCATCGTAAGTACCTCGGTTTATAGTTACTTAAAATTGCCAAGTAATACCACTGGCACTTTCTGGCAGTATGTAAGTATATTGCACTAAAGCTATATCGGAACATTAAAAAAAACTTCCAACTTGAAGATAAAGTATTTTGGAATTTATGTGACTACAAAACTTCTCAAGCTGCAAGTGCAAGCAAGAAAGACGTCACCCAGCATACCAGAATAGAAACCTTTAGAAAAACCACTACAAAATATATCCCTTTGGACCCTCACCAACAAAAATTCTATAATGTGTTCGTAAAATTTGTCGCAGGTAGACTAGTTTCATTCTCAATTACAGAATCTGGAGAACTCTATTAGATCATGCACAAAAGAATCCGAAACATTTTGCGAGAACTTTCTGGGACTGGCAAGCTTTAGTAAATCTTTTTTTTTCTACAAGCTGAAGAGTGTGACCAGAGTATTCAACTTTTACTATACAGAACATCTTATGGATGTCGTCATAAATAACAGATTGAACGGTACCATCATCGTCTTCTTCAGTTTCTAGTCACTGCTTCATGAAAGCCCATTGTCAGTTGTTGAAAAACCTGGCAAATGGATAACTTTAAACATTTGTTATCAATGATAACATGAGAAATTTTCCCAGTGATGCCAAAGGATGAGATGTGATCTCCTCTTATCGCTGGGCATTATTCTCAGTGTTTGCCTTTGAAGCGACTTCAAGTTATCATTGCTGATTTTAAAGTCAAGTCCTCAACAAAATGTAGTTTAATTACGGTGTAAAACTTAAACTGCCAGGTATTCCGCAAACTTTTCGGGTTAGCTTCAATTGAGTCATGAGTTAAGAAAACACTTTTAAGCGCTTGTCGTTCAACAACTCAGATGGCAGATGTTAGTGTTAGGGAACTTGGTAGCTAGAATTAAGGCGAATTGGCTCCGACAAGATACTTGGTGATTTGTATTTAGTATCCAGGAATTATAGCAATACCGCTTATTTTTGTTTCGATTTTTGTTGGAGGATTTGTTTATTTCTTTGTTTTGTAATTTCACGTATAAAGCTACTTGAGGGTATATGGCTAGCATTTCCTTATTTAGAAGTGATAGGCTAGAGGGGAGACAGTTAGTCAACACCACACACCGCCAACTCTTGGGCTAATCTTTTACCGACGAAAAGTGGGATTGATCGTCACAATATAATGATAATGTCCCTACGGCTGAAAGGGCGAGTTGTTATAGGAAGATTGTGTGAAAGATACTTTATGTCATGGCAACTGGTTGGCAATCACAATTTAGCAACATATCTGGCCAGTATAGCTTGTTTGAGAAGATGTCCCTCTTTATTTTGGCACAAGATAAGTTCAAATCGTGGGTCTAAAATTGATTCTAAAATATTAATGTCATTCTCATTTAATCATACGACTGTTCAAATACATCTAAAGTGTCATTTTGAGCTTCTTCAATTGACAAGAGATTTCACTTTAGACTTTAATCAGGCTTAGCTAGCCTCGTGTTGCAAGGACTATATATGCAGTTAAAGGATACTTCTCAATTTAAGCTAAGTCAATGACATCTTGGAAAGGTCTAAGAATGATACCTAGCTCTTTGAAATAATAACGTTCAAAGACAATCAGCTGTAACGTATCCATTTTGGCTAACCTTTCTAATGCAGTATTCAAAATAGATCTCAAAGTCATGAGCTGGGAATTTCATCTGATCAGATTGGCTTCTTGCAATTGGTTTACTCATTCTTGCTCCAAAGTATTCACAGCATGGGTTGATCTATGCGCAAAGAATACGAGCCGCTAAACCTAAAGCTACGAAATTATTTATTTTGACACACAAAAGAGATATAAATCCAGTATATTAATATCCTTCTGCTACGAATGTTTATAATAAATTGAGCTAAAACCTCATTCCTAGAATCAAACTCAAAACAACAAATTGTTCAAAGATAAATAACATGGCTTGGTGTGTTAATAATAAACTTACTAGACCAATAAATTGTGTTACCTCAAAAGTTTTATAAAACCCAACATCTATAAGTTGCATAATAAAAGTTAGGTTGGATTTACAGCGTCTCGAATAACCACACATAAATTCTTTGTTCCAATTCTTTCTTTTAAGAAACACATAAAAAGGCTCGTAAAGTTTTATGAAGTGTTAACCTCTACTTCTCTTTTTAAAAACTTGTAATTACTGTCTAGATAGATATAAAGTTGGTTAACTTCCTAAACCAGCGTACTCTGATGCTTACTTAAGAACAGTTAAAGAGAAACTTTGTTGTACTTTAGTTTTAATCATCCTTTTGATAGAGACCAGTGTCAGAACAGAAGGACATGGAGGTTAAATGGACAGAACTTGGAAGCGAGGAAATGGGTAAGAATAATGACTCTGATTTGTTATCATTGAATAGTCAAAGTCCCTGGAATAGCAGTTTTGTGCATATGATCGCCATTTACCAACAATAACGCATAATAAAGAATATCTCAAACAAATGTCATATTCAGTCGAGAGTAGACCACAAAATCCTCATGACAGTATCGGATATCATATATTTTTTGTAAATATTAATAAACCTGTTTCCAAAACACATTACGTAACATGCCACACTTTCTAAATCTTCCTTTAAAATGTCCTTGTCTGACGAGGCAGTTTTATTTTATAAATCTGTTAAACAAGCTAATAAATTATCTTCGAAGGTAAAGAAAAACGTTTCAAAAAAAGGAAGTAAATGTAGGGATGGCTAATATCAATCCTTTAAAAACAATGCAATAAGATGGTAGGGATGGCGTTTGCATCGTCCCTATATAATAGCACAGGCACACAGTGTAGTAGAGTGTTAACAGACAAAAAATAGGATAAATTAAACTCGATTGTGATTGAATAGTTATATACATTGCTATATGCTAAGTCTCGTCTGTGCTATTATGTAGGAATGATGCAAATGTCATCCCTACTATCTTCTTTGCATTGTTTTTGAAGGATTGATATTAGCCATCCCTACGTTTACTTCCTTTTATTGAAAAGTTTTTTCTTTATTTGTTTGCTTGTTTTATAATGCAGTGTTCTAAATACAATGAAATTCCAACTGTAATATTTATTGTTTATCTATTATTGGGTGGTAATTCCTGTTTCACCCTACACTTAAGCTTTTTAAAGAAATACCAAATTTCTGTAAGAAAGCTAACTTCAATGAGTAATGATAACATTATTTTTCACTAGAATTATGATTCTTAAATTACTACTAGTTATTAACAATACTTATAAAAGAAGATATTCTGTTTGAAACTATGTCACCTCAGTAAAATTGGTTGACACTATTGTTTTGATTTTTGAGTTATCATGTAAACAAAAAGAAGCAGAAGAAAGAAGAAACAACAAATTCAAACCTTTTGCTATGATATTTACAGACACTAACTTGGACTTAGTAATTACATAGATATTGTTATAAAAGGAAACACTGTATAGTATTGTAATGTTCTGATGACGTATTGAGGAGACATTAAAAATACCATTTCGATGAACAATCCAATCCATCCCTACACAGGCAGTGCTAGCGCCTGCGTGATAAATATGCAATTTGTTATACGGTGTTATTTTCAAACTATGTCTAAAAAATCAAACCCCTTATTCCATGTTATTTAAAAGCGCTTCCAAGAAAAGCCAAAGCTGCTATATACTGCTGTATGAAGACCGTGTTTCAGAGATACCAAGTTACTATGTCCTTTTATTTTACAAAAACATCCTAGTAAAATCAAAGCTCAACCTGAAATCATTTTCTTTTTAAACCACATTCTAGAAAAACCAAACCTATTTATATCTTGCTATTCTTAAACGTCAGTGAATGCAAACTAACAAAGTTATTTCTTATTTTATATGATCGCCTGCTCTGTGAATTGTATTTGTAATATTCTTATTGCAAAATCACACGCAAAAGAATCCACTCTTGACATATGTCCCAGTATCAAACCAAGAACCAAGTAGCTCACGATAACCTCTTTTTTAAACATTATATGTCAGAATAGATTATCGTTTTAAAAACCGATTTAAAATACATTTCTTTATCTAATCTAAACCAGCTCATTTTCGAATATCAACTACAAACTTAGTCTAAATAATTTACCATTTAAGAAACACCTGCAAAAAAAGTTAAGTATATCATACACTTATAATTGTTTCATGATCTAAATCCTATGCTGAAAGTGTATGTAAATGTAAAAGTGATTTAGTTTTCTTAAGAAACGTCGCTTTATCAGTTGTCTTAAATTCCAGATATTTTAATATATATTTTGCAGTAATCTATCATACTCATGTTCAACTTAATTATTCTAAATCGGTATGTTTCGATTAACTTATTTAATATGAACTGTTAACTAGATCTTAACTTTTCTTACATTAGATTTGAGTCGATTCCGTCCTGTTTATTCACCAAAGGATTTTTTGGACGTTTTAGTTAACCTAAGGAACCCCAATCTCTCCAGCAATGAACAGGGGTAAGTTAGAGTCGTGATTACAGACCAATTTGGTTCTATTTCATCAGTAAAAGGATTGTTTGTTTGGAATTAAGCACAGAGCTACACAATGGGCTATCTGTGCTCTGCCCACCGCGGGTATCGAAACTCGGTTTCTAGCGTTGTAAGTCTGCAGACATACCGCTGTGCCACTGGGGGGCCAGCAAAAGGAACACTAATTGCAGATATTGAACTCGGTAAGCTACATTTACAGCACTTTTTTTAATTACAAGAACACCAGTTACACTAGCAGCGAATAAAGGTAAGCTAGACTAGCGGCTTTTAAATAAAATATCTGTACTTAGCTAGCAAATCACAGAAACAACAATCTCTCCAGCAGTGAACAAAAGTAACTTAGGCTTATGGATACAGAACGTTCTGCGTTTTTGTTTTTCCTTACAGGAACATCCACTCCACAAGCATCGAACGTGGGTAAATTAATTATTTTGTTATCCAAAAACAAACAACTAACATTAATTCAATTAATATTTTTATATGAACAAATAATTTATCAAATATCACAAAAAGTCACTTTCACGAATCTTAAAACGTTCATAAGTAAATACAGGTGAATTTTATTATCTAACTACGAGACGGTAACGTATTAATTTGGTTTATTTTTCATTTAAAGTAAGTATGTTTTAAAAGATGGAGTTAGACCATAGCAACTTTCCTTTCTTATTGTCGACCTAATTGCAATAATAATAAAAGGTGATAAAGCTCCGCATTTTAACTCCTCAGCTGGCTATGTTAATTGTATTACTGTGTTTCGCAAAAAAGAAAAACAGTAGATGATCATAGATTTTTCCATTGTTAAAAGTAACTTCTCGACACTGGACTTTTCGTTTTGGAAGTGTGAAATTAAGATCTAGAGTTCCCCCCGGGCAAATTATCTTCACAATTACAGGAGATTCATGAGGGTTTGATTGTCAGGTGGAGTGGTGGTGAAATTAATGAAGGCTGTGAAGTATAAAGAAAGGGGAGCAGCACACTGTTTTTTACGGATTACGTACACTCACAGAGCATTCGCTTGCTGAGACCTGTTTGTAGGTCTTAGTCATCCTCTAACACTGACTACACTACACAGTATTAACTGTGTGCAAGACACAAAATAGACACATTTTTTTAACACAAACTTCGACATAACTGGCCATACATTTACTTTAGAAAACAGAATGCTGTCACACTTCCAAATTATACAAATATCTTTATTCCCATGTAGACGTCGAGCCAATAGTCATAAAAGGCCACTTTCCTGTTAACTAAGGCCCAACAAGCCAATGTAAATACAGAAATAGTCTAGATTTGTCGAAAACTTGAAAAGTATGACATTTTCAAGATACTTGTTGAATTTGGTTAATAGTTAACAGACAGCTAGAATCTAGGAATATACATGAATGTTGTTTGCAATTAATTTCCATAAGGGTAGATATAATACTAAGAAAATATTACAAAAGGAAGGGGCGCTGGTTTACCCTGCAATAAAGCTCTGAATTTCGGAGCATTATAAGATCAATCCCTTAGCGTGGTTGTAGGGTGCTACTGACTGGCTGCCTCCCCTCCGATCAGTAGTTCAAAATTAGGGACAGCGGCAGATAGTCTTAGTATCTTTACCATAAATACAAATACAGAAGTACGGACACTAAAGCAATTACCAACCATATGCATGAAGAATGTGAGACTCCTGTAACGACAGAGAAAAATTAAATATTCAATGTAGAATGTAATGAACGTCACTTATAAATAAAAGAAACGATTTAAAAAAAAAAGATGTAAATGCTGGAAAGCTATCTTAATCATGTAGTATGTTTTACGTTACTATTTATAAAAGCTGTAGTATAAAATATTATTGTTTTATATACTCTGTTGTAAACGGTCTTATTAAATTCAATGTCTAGGTTTAACTCGTTAGCTGCAATTATTTCAGTACTCTTGGAATGTTCTATTTTGATTCGCATGCAAATAAGTTTTCAACAAAAATGTACTCATGTTTTGTTATTATAAAAGGGCGCTTTAAAATGTAACTCCCAGTTTTTTCATTTTCCTATTCTACCAGGGCTGCTACTTTGTGGGGAGAAATTAAAATACCTCTCAAGGTGAATAATCTTCGAAATTTAGTAAGTACCTTAATACTTTTACAAAATAACTTTTGTTCAGAATGTGACAAGTAAACAAATATTAGTATGGTTTAAATATAGCACACTTAATTTAACCCGACGTTTTAAGACCTTAAAATTTCAACAAAAAATATTAAAAACTTTATTGATTTCCATTATTACATATCTATGCCATTAAGCTTCCTATTTCGTTCGTTTTCTTTCACTTTTTATGTGGTTTTCTTTTCAATCAATGGCAAATTGGACCACCGAGAAATGACCGCCGGTTCGCCTATCACATTACAAAAAACAAAGAAATTGTAAAGCAATCAAAATTTCAAAGTAACACTTATTCAATTTGTCGTGTAGACTTTAGTGAACGTGATAAGTAACATTAATTTCTAAGACGACTGTAAACTCAATAACAGAGGTCATCGCTTCTTTCATTAGAAAATCCGTATCTGACGAAGTAAGAGAAGCTGGCATGTCTTTAGTGCAACTGGAATCCACGAAAGATATTTCTGTGAAGCACCAGTGTTCTATAATTTTAAGATATATAAAGAGTGGAATTCATGAAACAATAATAACACTGATCAATGGTACCGAGTCGACAAGTCTTTGAATTTTTGCAGAATGTTTTTAATACTAACTTGTATGTGAGACATTGTATTACCACTGCCACAGATCGTAAAGCTGACATGCAAGATCAATATAATGCTTTTTCTGAATGATTCAACAAAGCTTCCACTGGCCAGATTCATGTCCGCTATTATACAGGTCTTGCATGCAACGTCACGAAACCTTATGTTTTATTCAACGCCGTCATATTGGACGCTACACATTATCGTCTAACAATCAACAGCAATCCGTATCATTTCAAGACTCAGTAATGTTTTACATGTCATAAATGGCAAAAAACATCGTCTTTAACAAGAAATACGGATTCGAAATTCAGTTTCTCGATATCTACTTTCCTTATGTATATCACTAAGATTTACAACGTCAGATAACACGATATTAGAAGAAAATTCGTCATATTTATCCAAAGACAAATATAAGTGCTTAACATTCAATATAGTGGTGTAACGAAATAGTATTTTATTGTTCCAAAAATGAAGGGCAATACAGTAACGATTAAGGGACAATATATATTTGTTGCATCTATCACTGTTAAACTGCGTAGTGCTCTCTTGTGAGTACCTTACTCAATATTCATTGATAATATATTAGAGAAACAAACTATGAAGTCGGGGAAAAGTTATTTCTAACAGTTTTTCATTATTGCTGATAATTTAATTTTTCTGTGGCGCCTTTTTTAGAAAAAAACAAACAAAGATTTATATCAAATGTAAAATAGTCTTTGTTTATAAAGTAAATAAAAGTAACGCTGAGTTTACCAAGCTCCTGATTGTCATTTCTACACTTTCTTGATAAAACTGATAATAGAAACAGCCCTAAATGTATTAAAAAACTATTTCCAGAAATATTCCAAGTCTAGAATTGTCAGATGACCCTAGAATGGCCAAACTTCGTAAAGATAGATTAAACGAACGAAGAAACTACTGTTTGAAGAACTACGTTGCAATGAGATTTATTAAAAGTCTCATAGAGCTAAACAACTGACTTTATGTGACTTTTTGTCGTTGGTGTAAGAACTTTATAGCTCCATTCTGAAGTTAGTGCTCTCTGATGCAAAAAAAAAGCGCCAATTTTTTAAGCTTCTCTTATAAGCCTGATGAATTACATTGCTGTCTTCTTTAGAGGACCATAAATCAGGACAGATATTTGAAGTGAAACCATTAAAGATGCTAAATATAGAAAAACTTCAAGCCATTGGCAAAACGAGCTTACAAGTATCTTCTAACATTTTCATTAACTCAACTTGCATGTAAAAGAACTTTCTAATTACTGAAGATTATAAAAAAATCGATTTCTGGTAATTTGAGCGAAAGTATCTTAGGAGCCTTTATGTTGGTGGTTGTGACGCTATCATAAACAGTGTTCTACTACAAAAAGAACTATCATTTTAATTTTAAGTAAGTAACACAGTCACTATGTTGTACTTAAATAGAAAAAAACATAGTAGAAATAATTATAGCAATTTTATGATGCCAACGAAAGCAAAGCTAGAATACAGTGCATAATTCTGTTGCCAGAAATGTGTTAAAGTATGGGTTTTAAAATTTTTAAATCTTACTTCCAACAGAGTATTTTTTGTCAGGACGGCATGGCCAAGTGGTTAGGGCGCTCGACTCGCAATCTGCAGGTCGTGGGTTCGAATCCCCGTCACACCAATCATGCTCCCCCGGTGTCCGGACTAGGATTACACACCACGGAAATCGAAACCCGATTTCTAGCGTTGAAAGTCCACTGACACGCCGCGGTGCCACTGTGGAACTATAATCATTGGACAGCACGTGAGATATCGTATGAGTTAGTAGGAACTTTATGTTTGATACCCACACAAAATGTTACTTAAGTACATATTTGATTTTTGAAAGTTTAGGTTTACATAAAACAATCTATACTTGAATAATGATGGGGAAATACTTCATCCAATACAGTGTTGTCATTGGACCTAGTGACGGCCCTCTATAATTCCTGTTAGGGTCGGATGTGGCTTAGTGTTGGGCTTCGTATCTAGTACTATCCATTGCAAAGGGAAAGAAATGTATTTGGGCAATAGATCTGTCACCCCTTCGAGCAGTATTAGTGTTAAGGTTTTGTATGTGAATTTATTCGTTTGTTTATAGACACTAAGAGTACCGTTACCATCACTTTGTTGAGTTTTAATACTTGTCCCCGATATCCAGGTTTGAAAAGCATGGTTAGATGTAATGTCTTTTACTAGATAAATCGATCGTTTTGTCATTTTTTGATCATACCATTCGGCTCAAAGTATCTTTTGAACTAGAAGTGTTCGGTGGATATCACTGTGGTGGAATTGGTTTAAACTCTCAGTCATTGAGACGCCTTACATGGTCATCAGATTCCTTTAGAACTCTACGTACCCACCCTCTTACATAAGTAATTTACGCAGGTCACTTAACTGTTTTAATTACCTTAAATACGTAACTTTACATTTTAGAAACTCTGTGTATTCAGGGCCCGGGATGGCCAGGTGATTAGGATGCTTGACTCGCAATCTGAGGGTCGCGGGTTCGATTTTTTTGTGTCTCAGAAACGAATATTATTCAGACAGAGATCCAGTCCAAATCTCTAATAAATTGAGTACACCTCGCTTGGACAAATAAATATATTTCAAGCATTAACAAGAGGGAATCCTTAATGGCTGCAGCGTAATGGCAGGATTAGCGTAAATTAATCTATGAGACTTTGGGCTGGTCACATATATCAATCAAAACCTTCTGAGTCCAAAACTGTAATTAGATTTCAAATCGGTCAAGAGATGATGGAGTTATAAGCTAAAACAAAACAAAACTCAGAGCAATTCTTTGAGTTGTTATGCCGCAGCTAAAACGGTTTAAGGTGGGAAGAGTCTTGTATATTTATAATTTTCTGACCCATTAAAGCTCAAGGTCAGTAAACTTTGAGTGTTAATAACTGATTTCGTCAAAACATTTTATGGACGAAAGTTTAATTTACCTTCTTTACTAAATACTACCTATATGAAAACTAAATCTAGGAATTCTACTATATGCGAAGCCCTCTAGTGGCACAGCAGAAAGTCTGCGGACTTATATATATAACGCTAAAAACCGGGTTTCGATACACGTGGTGGACACAGCACAAATAACCCATTGTTTAGCTTTACACTTAACTACAAACAAACAAACTAAATGTGAAGCTTCAGCCTTTGATATTCCACAGGTATAAGTTTCTTTTTTTTTGTTTTGTCTAAAAGTCAACTCATTATAGTTCTTTTAGGTCCCTGACATGTTTGATTTTGATATATGAATTTGATTTAGGCAACTGTTTTATAACTAACAAATTGAAATGCAGTATCATCAAAATATTTCTTGATAAGTTTCTTATTTATAGCATATCGTGAACTTATTCTGCATAAATTTTCATTTTAAAACTCAGTATGTGAACATAAAGAAATATGTTATTGCAAACTGTGAAGTTTCGACATATTTATATCAATATGCTGTTTAAAAAGGCATAAAAGCTACTAGAATGTTTTAGTTCGGTATCTTGTGTTCGATATTTATACATGTTTAAAATACTTTTATAGATAAAACCATTGAGAAAGACTGGCTAAAATATTCTGGACCCTCAGAGAAAGAAAGTGGCAGACGATTTTATGGATTATAGAACTAATAGTGTATGCGTTTTTTAATAAAATATTCTACAGCAAAATATTTAGAGAAAGACTTACGCTAAAGTGAAGTTTTATTTTATAGTTGATATTTTAAATTTTATAAGAAAGTCATATATCATTATCGCTCACCAGATGGCAATAAAATAGCCTCTTAAAAAAACGATCGGAACCCGCTCTTAAAAACAAAGATAAGACTTCCAAATGATATTTATTGTGCATATTTTGCAAGCGAGGTCTTAGTATACTGTATGTAAAAATATTTCAATATGATTTTTTGTTGCGGTGAGAGAAATATACCTACAATATCTTCCATTGCGTAATATATATAATATTAAGAAAACAAAAGGTAAACTATTTTAGAAATGGCATTAAAATAAACACCAGTTAATTTATCATATTTGATACTCAACATGCCTTGATAACAGACAATGTTGAAAGAAAATGAAATTAACAGCTCAAACATTTTCTGAAATATGCAAGTTTAAAACTGTTTTTCAAGATTTTGGGTGTGTGTTTTTCTTATACTAAAGCCACATAGGCTATCTGCTGTGTCCACCGAGGGGAATCGAACCCCTGATTTTAGCGTTGTAAATCCGCATATTTACCGCTGTCCCAGCTGGGGACTCGAGGTTTTGGAATTTCTACTTAAAATCACTATGTTTTATTTGACCAAGAACACAATTGGTTGATTAATTTAATTTCACTCCATATTGATTTAGTTTGTTTGTTTGTTTTT